TTGAGTTAACGTGCTAATACAAAAACTTGGTTAAAGGTGAATCTCTGTGATAACGCCTCCTAATACATCAGCTTATGCTCACGAATCAGCCTGGTGCAGCCGTTTCTCAGCATATGATAATTACTTCACGTGACAACATCCGGAAAGCATTTATACTCTCACCAGGATAGATCTCTTAGAAGTATCCATGTCTTCGTGCGACTTCGAATAAGTAAATTTCGGATGCCAGATTTGGTGATTACCCTAACCGTAGTTACCGATATTAGTAGGTTTGTAATAAATTTCCGTAAGGAGATCAACTGATTTGGTTCTTCGTCACAGGAAACCCACTGAGTAGAGAGCACCAAGTTTCGCGGCGGTATATATCTATGAATCTGTGCGTATTATCTGCAGGACTTTGAATAGAAGCGTAACAAATATATTTGGATGCAAGTACTGCATGATCGCTGCGTCCAAGAGGGGGGGGGACTCACATCTATAGATTATACCTTCGTTTGTCAACCCTAAAACCAGTATTGATGGTGACTGCAGGTTTCTGGTGGCCTCTTTCACATGGTTATATAATGGATGCGAGTCAACTAGCTGTTTGAACTGACTTTCGAACAATGGACGGACAGTCGTTAATTACGGTAGTTGAAATCGCCCATAAAGAGAACATAGGTAAATCTTTGTGCAAGAATGTGTGATATGACTTTCAAAAGAGTTTTGTTGGTTGTCTTCAAGGATGATGGAGGACAATAGACTACGCCTACCAAACGCTTATCGCATCTGGAGAGATGTAACTTACACCAAAGTGTGTCGGGAGCGGAAACTGTAAAATTTATTACATTGCACCGAAGGTATTCACGAACGTAAAGTAAAACGCCACCGCCACGTGTTGGACGACCGCATCTCAGTAAGGAGAGTTCGGAATCACTAATTGCAACTGATAGCCACATTTCGGTTACAGCAATGATATCCCATTGGTAATATGGGAAACGCCATTTGAGTTCGGAAAATTTACTGAGGAATCCTTGTACACTGATGTAGCCACAGTTCAGGTATCATCGATATAGAAATCCCATTGGTTGAGAAGTAGCACCTGGTGGTCGGCTAACATTCATTCTTGCGGAGGATGCTCTGGTACTTTGGTCTTCCCATAGGAGTGTATTGATAGTACCTTCTAATTATGGCTTGCTTGGAGATATAGGATCTAGTAGTGGTCTCAGGTGCAGTTCTGACGGCCCTGGCTTCTTTCTTTCCTGATACGAATGAAGAACGGTATTGGTCGTTTCCGGAGTACCAAGACTAATCTTCATTTTTCTTAAACCACTACCGTTATAGTTTGGTGGACAAGAAAGTCAAATGATTGACGTGATAACAACATTGTGACATTCAAATTAATCCTGTATGAACGGCCACTCTTTGCAACCATTCACGTGCATTCTTTAGCTCCGGGACCCGTGGATAAGGATGACCCTTCATTTTCAGCTTCCCGCGCACCCTTCAGATTGGCCCAGTAATTCATGCGCTCCGTCTACGGTCTGGCAGGTAGAATTCGTATCCTAGGCGGGTTATTCCCCAGGAGGTAACTATAAAGAAGAATGATTTTCACATCCTTTTCGGTTTCAGGTTCACCCAGAGTAATCTGGGTTCCCCAATGTGAAGTGAGGACGGCTGACATACAATGTGCGTGAGGTACACATGTTGCACTTTGATGTTCATCTGGACACAACTCAGTTCAGCGGCTAAAATCTTCCGTTTGATGCTCCCTCGAGGTTTATGTTTTTGGTTCGGGTACATTAGTGCAAATGACTGGTAATGCAAAGTTGCGTGCATATTTTTTCTCTATTACTAGCTGCTTCGTAGCTTGATTGAGGGCTGTCGGTTGTGGAATGATGTTCTCTACCTCTTGATTTCCTCGATGTTTTGAGCACAGTACTTCTTCCGTCGGCTGGACATGTAATTTACGTCGAAGTGGTACTATAACTTTTCAGCTTAAAGTGAATCCGTTGTACCTTCAACTGAATCTACAGTAAATTCAAGTGAATCCGTTGTAACTTCAAGTAAATCCAACCAATCGCACTCTATTGGAAACCCCAACATGATGATGGGTGGTTTGGCCGTCAAATACCACCGATTGGACAGGGTCTGTCTAAACCCCCTCCAGTTCGAATGTCTCGGTAAACAAACAAATATACTTTTTGAGTGAGTTACCGAGCGAGGATGAATGTTTCGGTGGCGTAAGGTGCGCCGTTCTCCCCCCCCTCCCGTCGCACACACATGTTCCACCCGGGTTCGTGATCGTTGATCGAGTGTGTGTCATAGATACGAATGAATGAACCCGGAGTTAATTGTCCTCTGCCGGTCGGGTAAGGAAGCGAATTACGTCAAGATGGATCGATAAGTCGGTCGCCATCCCCAGACGTGAATGTAAGCATGATTCATTGCACGAGTGGAGTCAGTCTAAGCCCTCAATAACCCAATGAGTAAATTCTATTGAGGCTAAGGTTCTCTCGAATAAAACCGATTCCTTTGAATCAAATGCGATTGCTTACGTCTGTCTGACATTGAAGTGCACACTTGACAAGATACTTAACAATGGCAATAATGGTGAAAGAAGTAACAGTATTTCACCTTAACAGCAAGATTAAATTCGAAATTATGTACTAGATAACAGAAATCATATTTTTCTCTGTCAGTTCCTGACTGATGAACACATTCAATCCACAATGCCAATGGCAACAATCTGTTACCTGAGGCTTCTCCCTTCGCTAATTAGCTTCATCGCATAGGTTCTTATATTTATTGTATCATTGCTCAACCCGTTGCATCTTTTCACATACTGGTTACATCTGTGAGATCATTTATAATTTAGTGAATGAGACAGACGGCTATATGAATGAGTTACACTTATCCATGATCCCACAAGCGATGATAACTCTGTACTGGGTCGGTAACATAATCTAATCTAATCGAACAAATCAACCGTCTTAATCCGCTAAAATAAAACCTGCCAGTTTATCTGTGAAAAATGCACTATTTTCTACAAACCGAGCTGGTTCAAAGCGGAGTGAATACAGTCGCCAGTGATTACAGAGAAGTTCTGTAATAATGTGTAATATCTACTCAACCGCCCAGTTCATTTCAGAGTAGAAAAATGTCACTGCTTCCCACCTTTATGATAGGTAGCTCGTTTACACAATCTTTCGTGGTAACACATACGGGAAATATACTGTAAAGTGGCATCCGCGGTGCCACTGAACCTTTTCTCGTATTCGACATTCAGTATTACGACAACCGTTACGGCGGATTCAGTTGAAGGTATAACGGATTCACTTGTAGTTGGAAAGTTATAGTTCGGGAATACCGGAGACGTTTGGGTTTCATTCCTATTCCGAAATGTTCTCTTGATCGAAGTGGGAATATTAAGTTTCATATTTCATATTCTGTTTTATTTTTACCATTATATTGTATCTTTCGTCGATAGGCTCCGTTTTAATAACTGCAGAGGCGCTGTCTTTCTTAGGTTGCTTAGACCGATGTAATTGGTTCCCTGAGTGATCCTCTTTGGTGGGTTGTTGGAGCAAACGTGAATTTTTTCAACCGAATACATCGTTATCACTAATGTCAGTGTTATAAAAAAATGAGTTAGTGAATGTACCTTGAGATTTGCGATGTTGATAGCCTCTGCTGTGCTCACTGGTATGCGTGATGGTTCATACACAAGACCACATCTACAGTTATTCTCCAGAGGTGCATGCAGTGGCAAGCCATCGATATTGCCATATATTCAATGTGTTTTATGCTAATTATATTTAACTACTTGTAAGTAGTGAGCCGAAATATCGCATTCATGTCGCCCAGAGCTAACCAATGAGAAGGCATTCCTTTCCATTCCGAAAAAAGTTGAGCATGAAATACATGAACCAAGTCAAATCAATTCGTGGTTGAATGACGAAAGTTCAAGATACGTGTTGACAGACAGAACAACAAAGGTTATTTTCACTGTAAGGTATTGTTTACATCTCGTTTGTTCATGGTTTACAAACCAACGGGATAATCAACTTGACATAGAATAGAAAAGTGAAAGACTAGCATTGACCAATTTCTTCCGATGATTGTTTGACTGATAACTAAAAATCTATACACAATGCACATTCTCAATGCACATTTGCATCGTTTTAAATGGTCAAATGTTCCATCAGATTCAAAAGTTTAATCCTTTGGCATGCTCCACTTTTACACCACTCAACGGAGGAAAAAATTCAAAATAGGGGGGAAGGAAACCCATTTTTATGCGATTCGTTGAGAGTCTTGTAAGTTGGCTTAGTATTTACTTATGTAAGAACTATTGCCACGAGTATTTTTCATGATTGCCATTTTGTATGGCTCTTGATATGATTTCAACATTTAACAACAAAATTAAGCATTCACTGATCCGGTTGTCTCAGCGATCTCAATGATGACGGGGATTCTAAGTGTGACATCGTTGATGAGCATATCTCTGTGCCACAGATACGAGTTTAATTAAATGCGAAAGACACTGATGGCGCAGATAGAGTAGAAAATACTGGCTGTACAACCGATGATAAGTTAGCCGAAATTCGATTACACTCGATCATTTATTTGCCCAAAATGTGATACTTTAGAGTATATAAGCCCAACTGGGAAATAGTAGTAGTATTTTGGTCTTATAAACCAGAAATTCCAATCGATATTAGTTGTAGTATTGCATAATGTTTCTAAGAAAGATGGCAACTTTGCTGGATCTTTGTTCTACGGTGTAGCCCCAAGAGCCATCAGTAACAATAAACCGACAGAGTATTTTCGTTTCTCACGGCAAATCATCATATTGCAAATCTGGGATATATAACCTTGACCTTTTCGAGAATATATTTGACCGGTTGATAAAAAATGCTGTCTGATTGCATAAACATGCATCACCTCACGTCTGAGATGAACTCGCGATTCGGATGAAATTTTATGAAATGATCAAGAGGAAAGGCGGCAATGCTTACCTCGACTTCCGTTTCCAGAGAGATTTTAAGAGCATTGTATTCTTCAGAATGCTTGGTTCGTAACTCGTTCAGTTCGTGATCGAATTCCTCCACTCGCAATCGCTGTTCTTCCAAATACCTGATCTAATTTAAATTGGGTTTTGTATGTAATAGTTTACAGAGACGAGAGAAAGGGCCAGTGTGAGAAATGCTTAATACTGCTAATAAGGTGGCTCACAAATAGAAAATTCTCTCGCCAGGGGTTTTAAAAACAACAAAGAATATTAACAAGAAATAAGCATGAAAGTGAAATGTAGAACTTTTGTCATCTTTCATAACGAGTGCTATGTGATTTCGGTTTTCTTCACCGAACGTAATCATTTGTTTTATTGCAAAATAAACCACCAAACCTAAGGCGAGAACTTGACAGGTAACATGTAAAAAACAAAAATTTGAAGTCGCAGGAAGTACCCAGAAAAGAAGTTACCCTGTACGGATGCCTGAAAATATTTTCACGTTGTAGCACACAGAGAAATAAATGTTTCGGGTAACAGTGCGTAACGTTATTCGACTACCGAGACAAAATTTGTTACCAGTGGGGAAAAACAATTCTGTAGTAATTTTGGGAACAGGAAAGGATTCTGTCAAGAACCAAAAAATAGCTCGTTTGTTTTCCTTGTGACGCAACAAATCACATTTAATGAGTCATACCGGACTCATCATCATCCCGGATCAGTCAGTGTTCATCGGGAGGAGGAATTGGACATGTTCCGTTCAAGTTCCCATTCAGATTGTTAGTGAGTCTAATCTGCCCTTGCATTGAAATAAACGCTTATTAGGAAAGTTGAGAGGAGGACAAGTTATCATAAACGGCATGAAGCGTCTTCTTGTGTTTATCTTTGTAGCGTTGAGCACACCGCATGAGTGCCTGGAATGGCCAATGGGAAAGCTCAGAATCTTTTGTAAATCCGATAGGGTTTCATGCTTGCTAAGTTTAGGTTGAAGCACTGAAGGTAAACCACATGGAAATGCCAGGAAGACAAGTACAAAAAGGGTACAAACCGGCATTATCAGTATCATTCTGTCCTTGAAAACGAAGCAAGTGGTATGATTGGAGGGTGTCAAATGCGTATAAAGAACCATAAAAATATTTTCAGTCCATCCTTCGGGTAATTTTCTACACCCAGTTATCGCCCCAGCCAAGTTTAATTCGCAGAGACGCACATAGTGATAGGTCATTTTCAGACCCTAATAAATTTTGTGGTTCCAAAGGTATAACAATCTTTGTAATTCAGGAATGGGCTATGAGGCCTTTTTACGGCTCAGTCGGGTATAGTTTCAAACGCTGGCCAATTGCCTTCATCACGCCGGCGCCTAATTAACGGACCACTAAATTTCGCTNGCTCGACAGTGTGCATCTCAGTTCGTTCAAAATTCTTCTTTTGAGTGGACAGCTCCAGTTGGTGTATCCATGGTCTTTCTTCTATTTTCGAGAAAATTTTATTACTTCCTCATTCTGTTCTCTTTGCTTTTGACAAAAACGAATGCTTTCCGAACTTGTATTTTAGCTTATCTTGAGGCCCTAACCGATATCAAC